ATCATTGCCTTCTCTTCTGCCGTATCGATAGCTTTATGGTGTCTTCGTCCACGGTGAGGAATGCCAGCGCGGCGATGTCCACGTTGTCGTAGTCGAAACTCAGATGCAACATGAATATCGGAAAGGCATATTCTCATGGGCGCACCATGGACTCCCCTCTGCACGGCTGGAGCTGCGTCAGGATACTGAGTCAGGCGGCCCGCGGAGTAGTAAAGACCCGGCCCCCTTCAGCTCAATATTCTGCGTTCTTCCCTGTAGACTGAGTCTTAGGCCCGATTGCTGCTGTGCATCGGCCCACACATGCGGGCCAACGAGGAGAGCCCGAGGAAGGAGTGTGAAGTATCTTCTCTTTGGGCTCAGCCGCACGTTGACATGACATTGCGACACTTTGCAGGTCGACGATAGAGAATGTCGCAGCGCACATAATGGAATGTTCTTTCTGTCACTAGGTAGAGCGCTAGAAAGAGAAGAAGATCTTGGGCAGCTAGTGCCGTGAAAGGTGGCTTCGGTTCGCTCTACCGGTGAGTTTGAGTATGCGGAGAATTCGCCCTGCATTTAGCTCATGCGCTAACCGCACTAGCACCTCTAGCGCTGTTTGGCCTTGCACTCGCTACCACCTCTTCCACCATTCCCATCTCATGGGGCGATAGACGAAAGATTGCGCAACGTCCATGCGGCAACCCCGAGCACCGTGAGACGATGCAAGATCGCACGTTCGCTCTTTGACCGTCGGTTTAATGCACCCTTCCAGTGTTCCACCAGCGTTGCGACCATGGTAGGCGGGCCTGAGATCTGCAACAAGATCTACAAGATGCGTCGTCCTATGCAGAAGTTCTCATGCGCACACATAGCCACAATCGCGACTCTACATGGTGTGACCTGTTCGGTTGTACTTCTAAAGTGTACGCTTGAATCATGATTTCCCGCCCACCCTGGATGCCGTTCTCATTGGGTGATAATGGGTTAAATACGCAGCATGTGGGGCCTCAATTTATGCGGCATCACTGCCAGATCAGCTCGGCGGCCGTCACCCTAGGATGCAGAGCTGGATATCCCCGTGTTGGATTGTTTCGAAAGTTGGTCTCGAGCGAGTGCACCTTCTTTGATCGATCTGGCGGCCTTCTCCCGTCACCCGCGACCGTGCTGTTTAGCTTTCGCTTCGCCCGTCTTGAACCAGAACGGCCGACGCAAGAGATGAGTGGCGCGAAGGAATATACTTGAAAACCCCGGGGCACTCCCGATCATTGAGTGGCTGTTTGCTTTTTCCTCTTGTTCACCGATTGTGACTTTTGCGATCCATGCCATTCCGCACCTGAACGACCCCGCTGCAGTGCATCATGGACGCAGGTACACAAGAATGGCCGGACCAACGCTTGAAGATCCTCATCCCGGTTTGGACGTTAACGGTGATTAGTACCGCTTTCTTGGTATGGAGAGTCGTGTACGGACTGCGATCACGCAAGTTCATTGCCTGTGATTACCTGTTGATCATAGCCACTGTGAGTCTTCCCCCAGTCCCGAAGATCGTCCCGACTGTGTGGAATTCGTCGCTGACACGAGTCCACCAGGCTCTCAACATCACAGCGACATCACTGAACCAGGTCGTTGTCAACAATGGTCTCGGGCGCCACATCATGGACCCGACGGTCTTTCCGAATCTCAGGACATACAGCTATCACCTTTGGATCACACAGATCGTCAGTGAGTTTGCAACTTCACGTTACCACCTTTCCATTGCTAACTGATGACTTCAGACATCATTGCCGTTGCCTTTCTCAAATGGTCCATCTGCGCTTGGCTGCTCGTCTTAAACTTCTCCAAATTGTACCAAGTTATCGTTTGGCTCTCGATCTTGATGGTCACCGCCTTCAACTTCCTTGCACCGGTCTTGACGCTATTCGGATGCACACCCCTGGAACGGAACTGGAACTTCGGGTTTACCGGGGAGAGCCATTGCTGGGCAAAGGGCACACTCGCACTATCCTATACCCAGGGTATCAGCAACATCATCACCGACGTGGTGTATATGGCTGCGCCTCTGATCTATCTTTCGCGCGTTCAGTTGAACAGTCGAACTCAACTGGGTATCAGGATCGTTTTCCTGCTGAGTATCCCGTAAGCGAACAAGCTTCACAGTCCCTGTGGGTGAGCTACCACTGACGTCTCACAGTGCAACGATATGCTCAATCTTCAAAACTATCGAACTCAAAGCCATCACCAAGACGCAAGATCCTACATGGGACGGCGTGAATCTTACCATCTGGTCCAGCTCCGAACTCTCCATCGGCATCCTCATCGCATCCCTCCCTCCGCTCCGCAAGGCATTCGATCATCTTTTCAAGAAGTTCATGCCCTCGACATTGACGGGCTCGGGCAAAACGCCACACTACGGCTATGGGAACTCTAGCGTCGCACAAGGAAACAGCATTCACATGAAGAACTTCCAAGGCAGCAAAGCCTATCACTCTAGGCTACCTGGCGAGAGCATCCTTGACGGCGACGACGAGAGCGATCGGGCCATCCTTGACGACGACCAAAAAGGGTCTGGTATCATGAAGAGCACAGACGTACAAGTCACTGTGACCAATGATGTCGGAGAGGCGGGGAGTAGTTCCAACTCCAAGAGCGGGGGGAGCCCCAAGATGTATAACCCTGAAATCGACTGGGCAAGTCCACACTTGGAGAATGGGGAAGGACCGCGCCGGTCTCGGTAATGGGAATGTTTTTAACGGCCGAAAGTCAGGATTTCGTTTGCATCTTTAGTCTAGGCCAGTAGGAAGGAGGCTGAGCCGCTCGATAGTTGGATACCCAGGTACTTTTTATTCACATGAAACGATTGTAATATGTACGGCGCAATTGGCCCGTGATGACGCGAAGACATTTATCTGTATCAACGCCAAGTCTCTTTACCATACGCTGTCGCTTTTGGCGTGATTTAGTCTCACAATGAATTACTGTCAAAATTAGACCTTGGCTTTGCAAATGGACTTGAGGATGGTGTGCTATTCGTGCTAAGTACCGAAAGGACAACGCGGTAATTGTAGAGAGATAGTGCAGAGCCATTCGCATACATTGACATTAACAGCTGGCGCCACCATTTTGAGGTTGTCGTGCGCAAGTAAACATATCGCGGAGATAAAGGCCAGTTGTGCGATGCACCGGTCGTAAAATTCCCTTTCCTTTCGATCCGTCATATCGTTGTGGAGAAGTGACGCATACGCCGCCAACTATGCACATACACTGTATGAGTTGCGAAAACAAGCAAATATGTACCCCAAGCTGACTTGTACCGATGAACCACATTCGTGTTCATTTCACGCGTAAAACGATGACAGAATTAACGACTTTAGTCCACGGATGTACTTCGGCGAGGATTTCGAGATCGATGGATTGGAGTTCTTCTGACAGTTCCAGTATCTGTATTTTCATTAGTGACTACTGCCTGACACGACTGCGCTGGAAGTCGGTGCGAACATACCGGATACAACACACTTCGCATCCCCTGTGCGCTCCTCGCCACCACCAATGTACCCGGCATCAGCTTCTTCACCATGCTTTTGAGTATGTTGAGCTTCGTGTACGTATCTGTACCAACCAGCGCAGCAAGGAAGACGACCTGGCACGATTGCCATTCGGCGTTTGACGAAACCTCGGTAATGTCTTCACAAGCGAAACTCATGCGCTTGCCATAGCCTAACCGCTTACATAACGATTCGCTGACTTGAAGCGCAGAGGCATCGCGATCCACGTTATGCACTTGCGCGTTAGGGTAGCGGTCCAGGAAACAAAGGGAGGTCAGAGGTAATGGACCGGAGCCGATGAAAGCGATCTTGGACGGTGGGCTGGGGAGGAACGCTTCTATGGTAGAACATTCCAAGCGGGAGAGATCGACGTAATTTTGGTGGTAAGGGAAAGTTGTCAGAATGTCCTCAGGTGTTGTGATTGTACCTAAAGAAAGTTAGACTTGTAGTTAAGTGTGATGCGTGATTGCGCTGCACTTACCGCTGATGTCGTTGAGCATGCGCTTTGCCCAGAACTTCTCCAACTCTCCCTCGGCTTCTGAACATAACGGTCGCAAATTGGAGCAAAGACTCTCTACGGCAGGTATGCGGAAAAAATACGATGTAAATTCTGCGCTGTAAGGTACGACGCAGAGGTTTACGAGTCGTGTGAGGAGAGAGTTGACTTGGTCCGACGGCGCTAATGACGATAGTTCGTTGAGTACCGTGTATATGTCCCTGATCTCGAAAACTAGCTGATGCGCCGCGGTACTGGTCGCATTCGGTGTGATTGGGGGTGTGACGGTAAGGGACCCGACAGGGGTAGTAGGTTTGGATAGTTCCGCAGTGGGCTTACGTTCGATGGTCGTCATGATGAGGTACGAGTATACGTTTTCTTTGTTGTTTCTGTTGTCAGGTAGTACTGCTGTATTTGAGTGTGTGATCAAGATGCAATCAGTTTAGCAAAGTTTTATACGCTACTGCGATTGTCAGCTGTGCCCGGGAGAATCATCAACACGAGCGTGCATGTGTAGACTAGGAAAACTCTTTCTCGCATTTGCCATGTGTCAAACGCATTGAGCGGTAATGGCGTCTGTCTGGTTGGCTGAGTACCCTGATGGTCGTGTGGGATAGTGAGTTGTGCTAGGGATGGCCCGACATACAAGCGGGATCTACGCTTAATGTAGTACAAACGTGTGGGGTTAAATGCATGTTGGGCATAAAGAGTTGAAGGCACACCTATAGACGTGATTCAGATGGCAGGGACACATTATGACCCGCAGCCTCAAACCCTGGCGGCAGTATGCAGATCAATAACCCCTCTCTTGCCGGAAGCCTACCGCTCGAATTTTCTCGAAAACTTTTGATTGACGGCCGCCGGAGCCGTCCAGTCGACTGTGCTGCATCAATGGCTTGCCGAGCTGATGTCAGGCGTTGGCCGGTGAAGGGAGATCTCGCCGCTCAACCTCTCTACCGAACAAGATCTTCATGGCCGGGCCGTCAATAGACTCGCTTGCCGCCCACCCACGTCTCTTTCACTGTCACCTTCCTCAATGCTTCTGGGCCCAGCGATTCAAGTTGTTCGTCGACAACAACCCAGTCAGCATACGCCCCCGCTTCGATGACACCAGCTTTGCCTTCTAAGAAGGCACCATATGCAGCGTTCACCGTAAAACCCTCTAAAGCTTGTTCGAAAGTGAGGCTCTCTTCGGGATACCAGCCAGCCTTGCCACCGCTAGGGTCCAGTCCTGTACGTGGACTTCGTCGCGTGATTGCCGCATACATTCCCTCGAAGATACTCGCGGGTTCAACTGGGAAGTCGCTACCGAGGACTGGACGAAGTGGTAAGAGCGACCGCATTCGGTACGCCTCATCTTTTGTTCGTTGCTGGCCAAGCCTGCTCTCCGCATAACCCATATCCGAGGTCGCGTGCGTGGGCTGTATTGACGCAATGATACCAAGTTCTGACATCCTGCGCTGGTCATCTGGATGGATGATTTGGGCGTGCTCGATGCGGAAACGACGTTTAGCTTGACAGTCGCGGAGGTTAGCGTGGGGGCACAAGCGTTTCAACGCCGCTTCAAACGCGTCAACCGCAAGCCTGTTAGCAAGATCCCCAATAGCATGAATATTAACTTGGTACCCTGCCTTTACGGCCCAATCATATGTCACACTTGACAGCGTAGTCGCGTTGACGAGTAAAGAGCCGGAGGACTCCGGTTTGTCGCTGTACGGCTCAATCATAGCTGAGCCCCAGGAGCCCAAAGCCCCATCTGCACGTTGTAAGTAACTTGTTGAGAGTGGGCCGTGTATACAAACCTCCGAAAAGCTTGACGCTGTTCACATGGAATCGGCCATTCGGAGTCGAAACTTTCCTGACCGCCTCGGGACAAAACGTGTTCCGGACGTCGCATTCGATCATTGCATTGACTCTCACAGTCCAGTCCGGGTCGTTCGCGAGCTCTTCGTATAGCTCCAAATCTGCCGGCACTACACCGGCGTCGTGCATCCCGACAATACCATGTTTGTTTAACTCTGCCATCGCAGTCTTAATGAACTCGGTTTTGCGCGCTTGGGTCGGCTTTGGGTAATACTCCAGTACGATATCCATGGCATTGTCGCAGAAGACACCCTTTGCCGGCACTTCGCCTCCGGGAGGTATACTGAATGACGGAAGAAGATCAAGCACCTTTTCAGATACCCCTAAGATGAAATTACTGAGTTAGATTGAACTCATGCTCGATTTCCAGGGCTGACTCACAGATGCAATGAACATCAACCTGCGCGAAGTCAGTATATGTGTCTCCCATTTCGTACGGAGAACTAACACGATCAAGCATAACATAAAGATCCTTGAATCTCTCATCTATCTCCAAATCTGCCTAGATGAAGTGTCAGTATCAGCACGGTCACTTCAGCGCGTCTACGTTCATCAGGTCCAACGTACTGCAGTTGGCCACCTCCCTTCAAAATGAGCTTGGTCCCAACCGACGCCCCGTAGCCACTGTTCACTAGTTCCTTTTTCTGGACGGACTGTCTTATACTCCAACAGTCTCCTCTTGATCTCGTCCATTGAATCGGCGCCAAAGAGGCTCACTGAATCTAGAGATTCTCCAAACTGGACCAAGTGACCGTGACCATCCCAAAAACCAGGGTACACGTAACCTGTGCGGGATTCCTTGACCGCATCAGGGGCTGCATTGTCTACGAAGACACTGGAGAATTTGCCGTCGTGAATGGTAAAGCACTCGGCATGCGGAAACTCCGACGAAAGCGTTCTGACAGACTTGTAGCAGTATGTGGGTACGAAGAGATTTGGAAGCAACGTGGATGGTATGTATTCGCTGATGAAAGCCGGCAGCCCTAGCTGGTAAATCAGAGCAGCCAGAATCACAGGCAGCGATACCGAAAGAAAAGTGGAAAGGGTAGGCATCATGCCCTCTCAATTCACGTGGGCAATGTTGGGGGCTGGTGTCACGAAGATCACGGGCAAAGGAAATTTGGCAATCGATAAGCGAGCGCCGATGACGCGACCGAAGAAAAACGACATCGTGGCCCGACGCGTCTCGAAACGCAAAGTAAGTCGCGTCAGGTCGCGTCGTCTACGAGATGCGCAAATGCTCACCTGGGCAAAATGACGACAATGTGACTATACTGAGAAGCCTAGAAGTCAGATGTGTGGTGGTCACGTGATGCGGACGGTCGCGCCGGCTCTGCTCCCGCTCCCGAGATCTCAACAAAGCAACAGAGCTACCCGAAGAGCCTCTACTCGCGACACAGAATAATCGTTACTTTGTTGGAGACAGCCCTCGTGCTCGACTGCTCGATCTGAACTGGCTCGCCACATGAGCATGTCCAATTGAAAAAGGGCGGTGAGCGAACCTAAGCAGGCGTGTTGCATATTTTCCTCATAACTCCTTCATACGACCGGTGTGCATTTACGCATTAGGCCAATGGCCCCTCTTCTGATCGCGGCTCTGGACCCAGCTCCACCCTAGCTCCACCTTGGCATAGATGAAGATTGGATGGGAAACTCGAATGCTGAATTGAAAGGCTGGGCTTCCTGCAGCGCTAGTGTGGGGGCCGGATCCTAACAATCCTACACGACATAAGCAGAACCTTCTGTGAAGTTCGATTTCGAGAACAGCTTTCGCATGTCGGGTCGCACGGCTTTGAACACTACAGATGGCAACGACTGAGATTGACGATCTTCGGAAGCAGCTAGAGTCGCTCCAGCGCTCCCATGAGGCGCTGCTGAAAAGCTTATCGGCAACGAACGACACCTTCAAACCATCCGACGCCTCACAACTTCGCCGCACATCCACACGACATGGAGGCGATGCTATCTTCGCCGATACCTCGACGCTTTCTGACGACAGCAGCGATGAAGAAGACGACTACTTTGTCCAGGACGAATTACCGTCCCATTCGTTCGACCATGAACATCTACGTGAGCATCTGAAGACGCATAACTGGACTGAACATGGCAGAGAGATTCTGGCATCGATCATCTCTGATCCCGCGAAGCTTACCAAACAATCTCATCTCTTCCACATGGGGCCTGGGCCAGCAGATGACCGGAGCCATTATTCGCACTTCCAAGTGTACAATGTCGGAACGAACGGTTTGCCTGAGCTGATTGAAGTGACCGGTCCTGAAAACAATATGAGCCGGGCAACTGAGATTTGGCATGCGCTGAGGGACGTTGGCAAGCAGCCGGACCAAACAGTGGTTGGACGTATCACCATAGCGCGAGAACCTTCACCAATTTTGTTCGGTGCACTTCATCTGACGCTGAATGATGCTTTTGACATGGACGAACTATTCCGGCATCTAGTCGAAACAGAAGCTTCATCTGCGCATATGTTCCGAGCCTTCAATCAGAATCCCAAACACCAAAGGACCTTTTTCTTCAACTTCGAATACTATACCATCGTTGGAGATGACTGTCAACCCATGCAATGGCAGCGTGCGGATAAGATAACGGGTCAATCTGATCATCATATCCCACTCTCGCGGTGCAGTGCTGTCGTTGCGCTCGTTCTTTATGACGATAAACCACGCCGCATCCGTAATAGGGGAAGACGTGCGAAGACACAGTTCGGATGGGTGCACGATGTCTGGTCGCCATGGCAAGTCTTGCAGCTGGAGAGCTTTCCGGACTGGAAGTCGACACCAGCTAATGGAACACCATACACCTTCGAAACTGGCCACAAATATCTCAACGGTGCAGAAGCATTCCTTCATGCTCTACTCACGGAATATCGGGACGCGAGGAAGCGATTCGACGAGATTTACAAGCGGATTACCGACTTAGTCACTCCACCGCTGGGCTTCCTGTTTAGCGAAGAGTTGCGCCGAGCCCGACTTTTCGAGGACAAAGACTTTACCTGGATCCGCAGATATTTCTACGCACATCAAACCTTGGGCAACGTCAACAATAGCATTAAATCCATGATCGACGCTTTCGAAGACTGTTTCACCGACGATATCTGGGAAGGCCAAAATAAGACGCTCTGGCCGCTTTTCGAGGAGTCGCCGCGCAACGATCACTGGAAGCGCCGTTTGCGGACGTTGCGGCTTCAATTCGAAAGGGAAATGAAAGAGCTTAGGATCATCATCTCGGAAAATAATGAAAGACGGCATGAGATTGAAACATTGCAGGAGCAGTTGTTCTCTGGTACTAGCATCCAAGAGTCGAGGAAGTCTGTTGAGCTAGCAGATGTCACCGTGCACCAGGGGTACAACATTAAGGTTTTGACCATCGTCAATCTATTCTTCATGGTAAGTGCATATGCCAAACCCTACAAGCTCTCGAAGAATAGATAATTGACCGATCGACAGCCTCTGACATTTGTAACTTCCGTTTTCGGCATGACAAACATGCCCGAAAGTCCAGCAAACTTCACACCATTCGCCATCGTCTTGGTGACAATCTGCATACCCTTCTTCAGCATAATCGGCTTCCTCTCGACGAAGTACGGATACAGCATATGGGCCCAGAAAACAAAGGAACTGTGGCGATGGCTACGACCGAGGCCGCAATTGAAAATTCCGAATGACACAGACTTGGAGCCCCCAAGACGCGTAGATAGGACCATGTCGACGGAAGAGGGTATGCGGTTACGACTTAGGGGGGCAGAGCATATGCCTATGGGGGTCGGGGTGGGCATGGGAAGGAGGAGATCAAGTCAGAGACCTGCGCCGTCGCATCCGCATATTCAGCGCATGGTGGAGAGGATGGGAGAGGGGAGGGAAAGTGGGCTGACGCGATTGGGGACTGTTGTAGCCGATGACGAGCACTCGGACCATAGTAAAGAGAAGAACGGTAGTATGGGGAGAGATGCCGTCATCGATATCAAGGAGGATTAACACAGTTCCTTATCAGATAAACTCGCGGCTCGCAAGCACACACTACATATCAAAAGCACTCAACCCATCCATATCACTCGGCCCGTTCCATTCTTTGGGTAGACTCCACTCGTTTCCATCCCCCAATGGCATGAAATCCAGATTCACTCCATCAATCGCACCGCCACTAACACCACCACTACCACCCGTACCAAGATCATCAAACGCGCTCAGCTCGGGGAAATGCGCATTAGCAAGTTGTGAAATCGGATCGTGAGGATCAAAGTCTGCGCCCATCCAGGCCCCAGAGTTCCGGTTCATGTGTGAAGAAGAAAGGGTGGTGGAGGGCGTAGACATGTTGTGAGAAAGCTCAGGAGGTTCCGATATGCTGGGCCAGCCAACACTACCGAGTTCCGAACGTGGCGTCACCAATACGTACCCATCGTTGTTTTGAATTGGGTCGTCGAACCGGGGTGGCGGAGGAGCTTTGATGCTGAGCCCATGTCTCCCTTGATCAGACGGCATGCTCATAGTAGTACTCATACTCATTGTTCTCGTCTTTCTGTTTCCGCCTGTACCGGCTCTAGGTCTTGCGCTGCTGGTCTGCCTTTTCTTGGCCCACTGCTGGTTGTCGTTCATGTCGGCGTCCATATCTATTGTGCTGCCTCTTCGCGCGGGTACTGTCGAGGATGCGGGCTTGTACAAGTTGAACGAAGAGTTGGGGGGCTCGGGGCCGCCGCGTAGCTCTACCATCACCGCACGGAGTACGGTAGACATCCGTTCCGCAGGTTGATAGGTGGATGCCATGTCGGAAAGCGCGGCTGATAGACATTCGAGGTACTGCATGTTGTTGGCTCTGGAAGTGGGGTCTTTTATGAACGCCAACGCTGCTACGAGTGCGGTCGCCGCTGTGCCCTGCGGAAAATTGTTAGCGAGAGATGAAAGGTTTTAGCTGTTACATACCGCGTGTTGCATGCCTGTAACGAATATTTGCTTCGTATCGAATCGCTGTCGATGTTGCCAGTATATCCTTGCTACGCGAATAGCATGCTTAGTGCATACTGTCCTACTCAACGCGGAGAAATGGTCGTCAGGGCCACTCTCGTTGCCCGCTTGGTCTTCATACAAGGCGAACGGTCGGTGTAGCAAGATCAGACTGGCGTGATACTGTTGATGCAACAAGAAGAACGAGAATGGAGCAGTCGCAATGTTGGCTGGTGTCCAGCGCAGTTGCTCGGGTAGTCTAGCGTACCAACTGCTGAACTCGCGGTCCAGCGCTGCCATGCGCATATACTGATTTCGATCTACGGCGGTGTGCGAGTCGGAAGCAGCGTGCTGCGAGCGATGCGGATCCATATTCTCGGTGATCTTTCCTGCGAGCTCCATAAGATCGAGGAGTGCTTCGTAGATCATGGTCTCCATGCTCTTCCCCAGTCCAGCCGGTCGACAGGTGCCAAGGCGCTCAAACTGCTTTGTCAAGTTGTATATTTCAAGATCGGAAGGCTTCATCGAGGTCGGCCGGCCCAAGAAAAGTGCCCAGTATTTGTCGTAGATGACGCATGCCCAAAGAGTCATTTGGCGGATCTCGACCTCGCGTTCTGGGAGACCTGAGAGTCGTGTATCGAGATGGAGACTATGTAGACGTTAGTATATCACTGAGACATCTTCCAGTAGAACATACCCGATATCGAAAGCAAGTCGCACAGCCATCCCGCCGTACATCCAGCCCAGATTATCTCTACCGACGCCGCACTCGAGGTCGCCTAGCAGAAGTAATGCAACTACGCTCGGTATCCCACCCGGCCTTTCCAGCTCATGATCAAGCATGTACTTTGCTTCGCGATGTAAAGTGCTCTCCATGCCCGGTAAACCGATTCTTCTGATGTCGAGCCTTTCCTTGTTTGCGAAACGGTAACCCATGGCCAGAACACAGACATGCAGAAACCCAGAATAGAACTGTGTATGGCCCATCTCGCGGTCTTCGTTGAAAGCATCTTGGTGCAAAACATGGATGACTGGGTTGTAACATTGCCAGAACAGATCCATGAGATAATCGTATGTTTCCAGTGGAAGAGAGCGGATGATCTTGTCGGCGCGTCGAGCCTGTTCATTCATCTCTTGTGTTGCGCCGAAAGGGTTGACCGACTCAGAATGTACATGGCAGTTTGTTGTTGGACCGAAGTAGCGGAGGCGGCCGTTCAACTGATCAAAGCTAAGATGGCCACGAGTAGAGAGGAGACGGTTGACCATGCCATCTTTCTTTGGAGGTGGTAGCATAGATGGCGAGCCCGCGCTTTCTGCATCACCGTTTGAGAAACGAGGGCTATTCGTGTTCATCTCGTGCTGTTCGAAATCAGGATAGTCATCTTGTGGGCTTTGTTGACTGCCTGGACTGGAATGGTTTTCGTTGTTGTGCGCTTGGGTTTCGCTTGCTTTTTGGGTGGGTGATGTACCTTCTTCGTCGGGTTGAGGGTTATGGCGGGTTTTGGGAGGGTGATTCGCTGGGGGTAGCTCTTCGCCTCGCTCCTTCAGCATTGTCTCTAGTAGTGCTACGCGATCGGTGAGAGAGCACATGTATGCCCTCGAGATAGGTCTGTACATGTGTCAGCTTTGTGTCAGTCAGTAAAGACACATTACATACCGTCGTCGTTCGTCGTCGTTTTTGATGACGCATTCCACCCCTGATCGTTTACACTGTGTACACTCTGTCTCGCCGGGAGGTACTACACACTGCAAAGTTGTCAAAACGTATCGTGGAAGCAGATAGAACAGACATACTCGTATCCGGCGGTCTCGGCACGACGCGCAAGCGACTGACGCCCTGTGTCGAGGTTTTGAAGACTTCCCTTTCGTGGAGCCCTTCTCCGATGTATTCTGCTCCTGCTTGCTGCCGGCTTTCGAGGCCGGTTCCGGTGAGCGCTGTTCGCTCATGTTGTTATCAGGTGCTGCCGATCTTTCGTTGGCCATCGATGGTGTCGCTTTTGGTATGTACGGGGGATGGTGTCTCGAAGACAGACGTCAGCAGGGAATCACACTACTATGTCGCAAAGCGTTGTGAATGTTGCGGGGAGAGGAGTCGCAGACCGGACAGCGAGGACGACTGTCAAGCCTGAACTCCGAGTTCCACGAGCATGAAGTGACCCAGGCCTAATCTAGCCCTAAACGTTAACCGCTAGATTTTGGAGAGGTTTAGGCCTTCAAGTCGTGGAGGTGGGGCCCCGCAGTTTCACTGTACTGGGCGCCTCCAAGCTATGCGACCACGTTGGCTTTTGGCAAGCTTCTTCGTAAATCCAGCAACCGAATGACATGTACCTAGTAATGCTGTCGGCTCGACATGCTCGGAACGAGCTGCGTACCGGATCTGACGAATCATGACCCCAGAAGAGCGAGTGCTTGCAGAATCGAGAACACCGTGCTCAAGGCCAAACCTACGGCATGGCTTAATTTCCCTCTCCACACGCTCGTTAACCGGCATTGAGCCGATCTTTGCGGAGAAGCCTACAGTTGACGTAGGAGTGCATTGCGGATCGCTTGGTTGGAGGAACAAGTCACTCTGTCGCTTCGAGGCCATCGTCACATGAACCTATGGCGTCAGTAGTTCGCATCTGAGCTGAGTCTGGGGCTGCTCTGCATTCACCCAAAGCCCAATTGCAGGCCATAGCGCAGTGTGGCGTCGTCCCTATGCGACGGTAGTCGGGAAATCACGATTCGTGTTAGGGCAGAGTGAGTCTTCAATCCGGGGTACATGAGTCGAAAGACGTCGAGATGAGCGGGGTCAAGGCTTGCGATTGGGGTGGCGGAGTCTCGGAGCTTGTAACCATCGTGATGTTTGCTTCTTGGCGTTCTTATTGGGACTAGGAAGCGAGCATCCGACGCCTGCATCCATGGACGCAATCAGACTAGCCATAGTCACTATAGTTTGACACGCACGCCAGGACCTAGCGAACTGCGACAGAAGCCGTGCGCGATTGAGGGGTCTTGAGGGCTGTGGGAGCTGCAAGTCACCAATATTAACTTTCTTTCAAACCATTCGGGGTTGCCGAAGTGATGGGCACGCATGCTATGCGCGATGCACATGAACCAGAGAGTAGCAGTCTGTCAAAAAGAAAATTTAAATTATGAACCCTGACGGGTAACGCCCAGCACGCTTGGATGCCAATGGAAAGAAAACAACCCGAAATCCGGGCCCAGATCCAGTACCAACAAGCGACGGTACGCCTGACCCATCGACAGATGTCAGCTCAGCCGCCTTTAGTCAACGTCCCATTCGTGGTCCCAGTTGCGAATATAGGGGCTCAAGCCATGCATATCCTTCATTGCCGTCGCCTTCACATCGCCGTTGCCCAAGAAAGCAAACCGGTTCTTGTATCTGTATACATAGTCGTAGTCTTCCCAGCGCGGTGTCTTGATGGTTTTGAGGAAGTGTATCGTCTGCATTGAATGAGTCAGTCGCGAACAGCTTTGTGCGGGGTTGATAGGAGATGCGCGCATAAGGTCGGGTATGCGCGACACCACCGTTGATTGGGACAGTAACACATGCAAGGAAGCGCGACGTAAAAGCTGAAGGGTACTTACGGCACCAGGCCACAGATAGATCCTGTTCTTGATCTGCCCGTTCTTGAACCAACTCCGGCACTCTTCTTGCCACACTGTCGTCTTGTGGAACTCATCAAAATGCGCGTAGATCTCATCTAGGGCGTCCTGCTTCACGCTCATAGCTTTGATGCCTTCGCTCTGCATCTTCTTCATGCACTTGATGCTATACTCTACGGTTGTCTCGATCGACGGCAAGAGCGTGCCGTTACTCCATGTCGCGCCAGGTCCGACAATAGTGTAGAAGTTCGGGAATCGAGGAGCGGATACACCCATGTAGAGGTTCGGGCCGGTGGTCCAGTCTTCTTTGATGGATACGTTGGAGCCGTTGCGAACCGTGAAGGCGGGTTGGAATGCGACCTGGAAGCCAGTGGCGCAGACAATGGCGTCGAGTTTGTGGATCTTACCGTCCTTAGTCTTAATACCTTCCGGAACTACTCGTTCGATGCCGTCGAAGACTGGAGTTACGTTGTCTTGCACTAAAGCCTCCAGGAAGCCGTCTCCGGGCGAGATGCGCCGGCAGCCAACGGACCACTTGGGGATTATGAACTCTTTTAGCTTCTCGTGGCCAGGCCCCATACGGCGGTGCATCTCTTTGGTGATAACATCTTTGAACTGGTTCTGGAGTTCTGAGTTCTGCTGGTACATCCCGAACAAGCTGTTGATCTCTGCTTCGATCTTCTTCCGGAACTCCAAGTGATACTCCGGGTCTTCCTTGAATTTCTTGATGTCGGCTTCGGTGAAAGTGTACTGCCGTTGTCCAGGGTCGACATCTTGCCCCTTCTGGAGGTCGTCGTTCAGTGCGCCGGCGCCGAACGGAGGCGATATCCATGTCGGACTCCGCATGTATACTTCCAACCCCTTGACGACCTTTTGAAGGGATGGTACGATTTGGACGCTGGTCGAACCAACGCCGATGACGGCGGCGTTGATGTTTGTGAAGTCGACGCTGTGATCCCAGCACGCGGAATGGAGGACGGGACCCTTGAAGTCGTGAAGACCTTCAATGTCTGGCCATTTCCAGTTGTTCAGAATACCTATCATCTGTTAGGCGTGTAAATATGACGCTGGTCTAACACTCACCTGAACCGTTCACCAAGACGTGCGCCCAATCTTTCCTCATCGAGCCAGTCTTGGGATTCCTGATGGTAAGGCTGTAGCACCCATCCTCATCGTTCCAGTTGGCTTGCTCGATCCTGCTATTCAACTGCATGTACTTCTTGCTTCCATGTCTCTCGGCGAAGTTCTCGAAATACCCCTGGATCTCCTTCCCTGCTGCGAAGAAAGTCGACCAGTCGGGGTTCGGGTCCCAGGTGAAGTTGTAGTCATGCGATGGAATATCGCATGCGACGCCGGGATAGGTGTTCTCGTACCATGTTCCGCCAAACTGTGCGTTCTTCTCAAACAACGTCAACTCCCAGGATCCAGGCTCCAGCATCTTCTCCATCTTGTAGGCTAGACACAGCCCTGATGCACCCGCGCCAACACATGCCACTCGCAGCTTGGCTGGCTTGGAATGGTATTGATCCAGGGTTCTGTAGGGTCCATCAACATGCGATGGTGGGTAGTCGTAGTTGTGACCGTAGCCGTTGACGTTCAGTCCGTTTGGCATCTCCGAGCCCCCCATCGTGGCGGTTGCTAAGACTGGTAGGTGCTATCCCAAAGGAGAGTGACAGATACGTGATCACAGAGATAAACCGAAAAGCGAGAAGGACAAAGTCGATAGGGTATGCTGAGATGCAGCCTCGAAGACAGTAGATAGAGCTTGAAGATGCTACTCAATCAACATGAAGAAGATAGCGAGGCAGCCCGACCACTGTATCGGGGCGAACCAACATCTCTGGAGTGTTTAACCGCGCCTCGGATGTCTTCACACATCTCACTGTACACCTCCTCGCACGCCGGTTGGTGCATGGCATGCGGCATAGATTAGGCCGGTTTTCGCAGGCGCTGCGACCGGTACGAGAACGCGTCTGGGTTCGCGCACTGTCTTGCTGCATTAGCCAGGCCGAGATGCATGACTACGATGATGCTTGTGGCGGCATGATGGGTGTCAAGGGTGTGCATCTGCTGAGGGGTTGCGGATGTACTTATGCGGGGGTGTTCAGGTGCGATCCAGCATGAACTCAAAGCTGGCAAGGTCACGCTTGCCCACTTTGGGATGTGTGGGGAAGGCGGGGGTAGTCGGCAAGAGCGACATGTCATGGAAGCTGAGTTTAGTAAAGAACATTGATTCATGCAAATTGTAGTGTACACGCGTGATCTCATGATCAGGCGTCGGATGTTGTTGTGTTCACGCTCGTCTGGTGTTGATCCCATTGCAGGTACTTTGAAAGCGGATGAGTGCCAGACGCATCATGTTCGGATACGAAATAGCCAAAGATGTGCTGTCGCTGATATTGCGTGCAGATAATGACTATAGTACAGCGCTGTCTAGAGTCTAGCCTTGCCCATCTTCTCAGCGTCCTTCTTCGCCCATTCTTTGACGACCTTCCTCATGATCTTCCCAGACTGCAACTTCGGCACCTCGTCCACGAACACGATGCCTCCTACAAGCTGCTTGTGTTTTGCGACCTTGATCTTCATGTGCCTGTGGATATCCTCCGCGGTTGTCTTGCCCTTGTGTTCGTCCTTGAGCGTGATGTATGCACGTGGCCATTCCTGCCCATCAAGCGTGATACCAACGGCAGCCGCATCGGCGATTGGGTCGAATTCGAGGAGCACGGCTTCCAGTTCGGCGGGTGCAACTTGTAAAGCGTTGACTTTTATCAGCTCCTGGGTAGTATTAGCACTCGTTCCAATCGTGAGTGTTGAAAGGCAAACGTGACTAGCCTTCTTTCGATCAACTATCCAGAACCATCCGTTCTTCACGATAGCAACGTCTCCAGACTTGAGCCATCCATCTGGTGAGATAGACTCCTTAGTCGCGTCTGGATTGCGCCAGTAGCCAAGACATATGTTGGGACCACGAACATGAAGTTCGCCTGGCTGTCCTTCGGGGACTTCGTTGCCGTCGTCGTCGAGAAGCATGCATTCGCAGTTGGGGTCTAGCTGGCCTACACTACCGGAGCTGTGGCTGATTAGAAGCGAGCGGCGAGATAGCGAGGACGAACTTACTCATCTACAGTACCTCCTGGCACGTGTATGGCTCCGCAAGTAACCTCCGTCATACCCCAGCCCTGGACAATCTCGCATTGTAGCTTCTTGCTGATCTCATTCTGGAGTTCCTTTGACAGTGGTGCGGCACCGCATAGGATATCAGTTACGCTACTAAGATCGTACTTCACCGTCTCTGGTCTCTTGCTGAGCATGACCATAATTGGCGGCGCAACCTGCAGATGTGTGACTTTGTGAGTCTGAATCACCCGCAAGAATTCCTCATACTCAAACTTCTTCATGATATAGCAAGGTATCTGCAGCTTCTGTGCCATGGCTATGGTGTAGAGCTGCCCGTAAGCGTGATATAGAGGTAGGAACCCGATCCATGTTTCCTGAGGCCGGGTATCCGCGTTCCATGGCTTATTGAGATATCTTATGAAGATGGTTTGTTCGAGGTTCGCAATCAGATTGTAGTGGCTTACTTCGACGCCCTTGGGTAGACCGGTGGTGCCGGAGGAGTAGTTTACTGTCGCTGTTGTGGTGGTTGCTTCTTGTTCTGAAAGCTTCGGGAAATTGTATGCCTTGCTCTCAGCCGGGGATGGCAACATGTCCCTCCAGTCTTTGCAGCCTTCGACCGGTGCGCAAGGCTCGTCTGAAAAGAGGAAGACGCGGCCTTCTGGAAGACCGGCACCTTTCGCTGCTGCTACGGCTGCTTTGATGAGAGTTGGGTGCGCGAGAATGAACTTTGCCTCCGTATTCGCAACTTGGTGTATCATCTCTGGAAGCTGTCAGTATAATCCCTGCTGTTCTTGCATGATACTTACCAGAGACGGTGTATGCTGGGTTCGCGCCGCTGAAGATCCGCTTCGACCCCACAATTCCAAGGTAGGCTACGGGAACGAAGATGTGGTTTGGTGTGAAGATCATGACCACCTCGCCTGGTTTACTCCCAATGCGATCCAGACCCAAGGCCAGCCGTTTTGACCATTGCAGCAACGATCGTGGTGTCAAGTGCTGGTCGGTATCTTTGGAGTCTATCCAAATCGGTGTGTCTGAAGGCGCTGCTTCCTGGGGAAACAGATAATCGAGCAGGTTGCATTTTGGAATGTCAAGTACTGGGAATGGCGACGCGAACGGCATTGTGATGGTGGTAGGGGACGAGAATGGCAAGCTCAATCAGGGTAGATGGGGAAAGCGAGACGACGACAATCGCTCTCAAGCCACACAGCGAAGAAGTCAGATGCATTCATGATGAGAGAATGGCTTATAGTGAGGATTAATCATGGGGAGGCGTTGTTGCTGCAGCCGGTAGACGAGGTATCCGCGGGGGTGCACAGACGCGTCCGCTCCTCCCGAGGATATCGAACTCCACACACCGAGCTTCCCAGGCGCGTATGTACCCCAGACAGTTCATCAACATGGCGCATCGCGAGACTCTGTTTCGCTTGCTATCATACCGTTTGTTTATTGATATTGGAGATTGACCATCATGTCTGAATTGAAAGACTTCAACAGCATGTTCAGCCTCGACGGCAAGGTCGCGCTCGTCACTGGAGGTAAGCAATACCACTATAGCCAATCTGAACGCGTCTTAATTCGTCTTACTAGGCTCGAGAGGCCTCGGCCTTCATACTGCGACCGCTTTTCTCCTCGCCGGTGCAAAGAAAGTCTTCATCTCCGCGCGTAAGAACGAAGGAGAGCAAGGCATCGACCAAGCGGTCGAGAAGCTCAACAAGCTGCCTGTGTCTGGTACAGCGGTCGGCGTCGCTGCCAATGTCGCCGACACAGAAGACATCGAGAGATTAGTCAAGAAGGTGCAGGAGACAGACGACAAGTTGGACATCCTCGTGTGCAACGCGGGAGCCACATGGGGAGGGCCGTTCGATCCGACACCAGACTGGTCGAGCAAGAAAGTGCTCGACCTCAATGTTCGCGGTGTCTTCAACCTGGCACGACTGTGAGTATCGACCAGTAACAACATATGTGCTGCTCCTAACGCCGACAGATTCGCACCACTGCTCGAACGCGCTGGTACCCGTCAATCGCCCTCCCGCGTTATCATCGTCTCTTCCACAGCCGGCACGACCGTCCCCCACGTCGGCGAGCACGGTACCATCATGTACAGCATCTCCAAAGCGGCAGCCCACCACCTTTCACGGCAGCTCGCAGTCGAGCTCGGGCCTAGGAACATTACAACCAACACCGTCGCACCTGGCTTTTTCCCCTCGAAACTCGCAAACGGACTGATCGAGATGCTGGGTGGGCAACAAGAGCTGGAGGATAACAACCCGCGAAAGCGGCTGGGCGAGCCAGAGGACATCGCTGGCGTCATGGTCTTCCTGTGTAGCCCAGCAGGAGCATACATTAATGGAGAAGACATTGCTGTAGATGGTGGTATGAGACTTGCATCAGGACGCCATTCTAAGCTCTAGAAGTGTATGGAATCCATTCGGCATTTGCTGTATATCTATGTACATCTCAAGCCCCGTTCGTACCGTCTTTCTTGCCTCCTTCAAATCTACTCAATTGCTTCGCCATGCTAGTGTGCGCCATCATCGCCCGCATATTATTATCGCAAAACTCCGGTCCTGCATTGAAGTAGAAATTGTTGCCGTTCACCTCCACCGTCAATCCCCAATGCTCATCCGCAGTCTTCTTCACACCTTTCGCGTCCACGATCTCGCCTCCGTCCACCAGTTTCACCACAGTATCAACCACCGTCTCCATAGGCGTGAAGAACTCCAGAGGGAACGACTTCCATTCTTCCTGGCTCAAAAGACCAGTGTTGACGGTTCCCGGACATGTGGTAAATGTGCGTATCCCCTCGTGGTGGTATGCGACAGTGATGGCGCGATTGAATTGTATAACGGCGGCTTTGCCTCCACTGTAGATTGGACAGAACTCTGATGGGTATAGTCCGCCACAAGACGCTGTCATGACCAACACGGGATCCAAGTTTCCATGCTTTGCCATGGCCTTGCGGAAGTAATGTAAAGCCAGGTATGATGTGTCGATCACCGCTTTCAAGTTGATGTCTACGCTTAGCTGATTTGGTGGTGGAGGAGGTGGACCATCTAGGTCATGTTTCGCATAGAAGTTGTCGCGCTCCACAATACCGGCGTTCGCGTATACAAAGTCTATCCTTTGAGATGGGCTGTAGCTGGCTTCGAACGCGGAGACAAGCGAAGAGTAATTAGTGACATTTGTCTGGTGGAACTGGGTATTCTTCAGCTTGCTAGCTGCTTGTTTGCCGGCTTCGGCGTTCATGTCCAGGAGATGGAGTTCCCAGTCTTCGTCAGTCCGATTCGAGAGAGCTGTTGCAACAGCTAGGCCCATGCCTGATGCTCCGCCGGTGATCAAAGCGACCTTCTTCGACATCTTGGGAAAAGCGTTCGTGATCAAGTCCCCCTTTGGAAGTATTGCGTATATGGGACAATTAGGAGTTGGATAGCAGGTCGACAAATCAAATTGCAATAGTAGTCGATATGTCAATTGCACTGTTGTATAATATAGGCTATCGGTGTGATACTGTCCATTTAGGCGAGTAGCTCAAGCAGCCGCCTTACGAAAACGCAGAGACGTCCCGTGTGTGCCTTCTCCGCATTTACTAGGAAAGCATCTTCCGAGTTGGCAGCTTGTAGTGATGGTTAATTGGCAATCCCTTGAAATATCTCTAAGCATAGCCGTCATGCTTCCTCACGTCGCGGTTTGCTTCAGCGCTGACCATTTCCACTCTTACGTCAAACGCCGATCCCACCTGCAATATGGATCACGCTCGTAGGCATCGTCGCGAACTCTAACTTTACAGCATCTGGCATGACTCTCGTTCAACCTGCGCGTGTGATAGACATGATTCAAAGCTGTCGTACGCAGCTTCGCCATGGCCCTCACGCAGCATGACGCGGGGCGATGCGGGGAAAGTGGAGACGCTGACTCGACGCGTGCACGCGCCGAAGACACGGAAAACAAACCGCGAGCGCCATCGCCATCATCCGGACAAACGGTCTTGCGACACCACGTCGTCGCCAAGCTAATTTCTCCTCATGCAGTGCTACCCATGACTGCAATGCGTTCGCGCAGCCGACAGCAACCGCCACCAGGCTACAGACCTCCGGAGTTGACACTTACCACTTTAGTTAAGAGGTGAGATTACTTAGCCAGCGCTTCATACGCGTGCGCCGTCTCTCGAGTACAAGTTTAATATACCCTTCTTGGACCCTATCTTTCGTGCTTTCTTGCAATATTCTTCCTCACATTTCGCCCATCATGACACTACAATACTCTGCCAAGAACCTACCAAAGCAAATCTTCATCAACAATGAGTACGTTGATTCGAAGTCGCCGAAGAAGCTCACTCTACACAACCCCAAAAATGGCGAGCTGCTCGCAGATGATGTGCCCTTAGCAGGTGAACAAGATGTCGATGCTGCAGTCGATGCGGCGGACAAGGCGTTCCCAGCATGGAAGAAGATGAGCGCGAATCAGCGCCGAGGTATCTTGAACAAGTTCGCAGATCTCATCGAGCAGAACGCAGAGGGTATCGCACAGTTGTCAAGAATTTCACTTGGTGCGCCAGCAGCTTTTGGTGCTTTCGAGATTGGCCTTTGCGCCGAGGTGTGTACGGCTATCAACAACTCAAAAGTGACCACTAACAATCCATCAGGTTTTCAGATACAACGCTGGCTTTATCGACAAGTTCGGCGGCGAGTCTTGGCCTCAGGAGGATGGTTTCCTCAAGATCGTCCGTAACGAGCCTCTCGGTGTCACCGCAGGGATTGTACCTTGGAACGGTCCTATCGGCACCATTGGCCTCAAGGCAGCCCCAGCACTCGCCACAGGAAACTGCTTCATTCTCAAGCCCTCGGAAAAGACACCCTTCTCGTCGCTGGCTCTCGGTACGCTCATCAAAGAAGCCGGTTTCCCACCTGGTGTCTTCCAGATCCTCTCTGGAGATGGAAGCACCGGTGCTTTGATTGCAAGCCACATGCGCATCCGCAAGGTCAGCTTCACAGGATCTATCGCAACTGGAAAGAAGATCCAAGAGATGGCCGCAAAGTCCAACCTCAAGCGCGTCACCCTGGAGCTAGGGGGAAAGTCACCCGCCGTCGTATTCGACGACTGCAACCTCGACAACGCAGTGACCTGGACCGCCAACGCCATCACTGCCAACACAGGTCAAGTCTGCTTTGCCGCCAGCCGCGTCTACGTACAAGAAGGCATCTACGAAGCCTTCATCGAGAAGTACAAGCAAGCGATGAAGGACAAGACAAAGGAGATTGGCGACCCAGACGAGACATCAACGAACATTGGGCCTCTAGTCGACGAAGCCCAGTTCAAGCGCGTGCAAGGCTTCATCGAGCGCGGCCAACAAGGCGGAGGTACTCTCGCAGTCGGCGGCAAGCGCATCGGCACATCAGGCTACTACCTCGAGCCTACCGTCTTCACCGATGTCGATCCCACTTCCGAGATCCACTGCGAGGAAATCTTTGGCCCTGTTTCTGTCGTCAAGTCCTTCAAGACGGAGGAAGAGATCATGCAGTTGGCGAACAACACAAACTTTGGCCTAATGGCCGGTGTATTCACCCAGGACATCAACAAGGCGTTGCGCGTCGCAAGTGACTTTGACTCGGGTATGGTTGGTGTCAACTGTGTGAGTCTGATGTTCACCATGACACCGTTTGGTGGAAGCAAGGAGAGTGGGTTAGGCAGGGAGTGTGGCGTCCATGCGCTGAGGGCGTTTACGGAACCGAAAACGATTATGATAAACATGAACTATTGAGCTGTCAGTTAGCTGTTTGGATAGGACTTCAATAGGTATTCTGGTTTTCATTGCTGTCTCTTCATCAGAGCGCTGGATATAGTAGTGCAGTTTATAGAAATACCTCTAAAAAACCTCCTTCTTTGCACACTATTGTGCGGCACGATTGCATGGCACGTCACGTCTCATAGCTACGGGATAATCTTGGCCTTCCTCATCCTGTCAAAGACAGTCCCCCAAGTCTGCTTCGTATCCCTCTCCTCGGTGAATCCTGTTGAGTACATCTTGGTCATATCGAATTGACGATCAAAGTCGAACTTGGTCATGAGCATCGATTCGGCAATCTGAAGTCCACGACCACCGTCCACATGGCCATGTTGCAGCCCATACTTCTTCTCCATTGCCAGCCATGTCTCCATGTTGTCGTTGATGAACTTGCGCACATCAATGGGAGTGGCACCAGGCCCAGTGGCCTTGAGGCCAAAGTATGAACACAGAATAGGCCATTTCTTCTCCCAGTTTGAAGGTGTCTTGGAGTCGGCGACGTTGTAGGCCTCTCCCTTCTTGGTGTTGGGGGAGAGTGTGAGGTGGATGGTCTGGCGCGCAATCATGTCGCTGCTACTATCGTTGCTCAGCGCTTTCCAGACTCCTTGGTTGCCAGGGAATGGGCATTCAGCACCCTCGCCATGGATCTCCTTGTAGAGGCTCAGATAGATACCCAAGGATGTACCCAGCGAGTAGAAGTTCTGGTTGGGCACGTAGCCAATGATGAGATCGGGGCGAGTCTCAATCCAGCTCCATTTCTTGTCTTTGGCGTAATTGGCGATCCAGTCGTTCTGTGCGTGGTAGAACAGCATCTCGGCGTACGGGCTGGGTATGCGGGGGTAGGATTCTTTGAGCGGCGGGGGAGGGAGTTTGGGCCCGGTGGTGCCCGGAGGAGCGACTTCATCGAACCACGGAAGTGCAGCGAGGAGATGGCAGCCATCTAATGTATGTTAGTCTTGGGTGTCCAACACCTTCACAAGAATGGGACAGGGCTTACAGATCTTCGAGCCGATTTGCAACACAACGTATTCCAAGTTCGGGCACAGCTTATCCATAGCTGTCACCGCTTTGGAAAACATTTCCACAGCCTCGTCCAACTCCTTTTGTACATCCATGCCCGCCTTGTACGCAAAGTAGTATACGTGCGTCACCTCCCTGATGTCCGGGATCTTCTCTACCAGCTCCTTGTTGAGACTTTCTTGGCTATGTGCGAGTAGGTCAATGCCAGAGACCAGGTTTAGGCGCGGGTCCTCTGGCCATTGTGTTTGGTTCGGGGCGAGGGGGCGGTTGTTGAGGCCATGAACCCGCTTCCATGTGTTCTTCTCGGGATAGTCGGAGAGGATCTCGTTGACGAAGGACCATCCTGTATGATCATTGTCAGTGTGAAGCTCATCTATAGTCTTTTGAGGGGTTTACTGACCGGTCACACCGGATGCGCCAAACACGACAGCTGACTTTGACATTCTTCAAGACGTGCTAAGGGTGAGCTTTGAGAAGAGTGAGGCCTCAAGGATAATGAAGCTTATAAGCAGGGCGAAGCGATAAGGCACCGGCACGGCGTGTGCCAAAAACTAGCCCTTGCAGAGACTACATGTTGTCTCTTTGCATGGGCGACCAGTATGGAAGGTGGGGTTGCGATTGGGATTGCGATAGTGGAGACATGAAGTCTAGATGGGTTCTCTCCTACGGGAGTTTTCCCATACTGCCCATGGGGTGTACTAAACGTCAGTAGTACGGACCTTGGTGCGTAAGCTACCTACCGCGCGCATAACTTCAAACAGCCGCTCTGCACTCTACAGATCGTCAGCGCTCTTCTGAAGATCCCGCGTCGCATCACGAGGAATTCAGAAGGAGGCCCGGTCGCCTCGGCGGGCCATCCGGTACCCATGAGTTGTGGGGTTGCCGCAAGGAGCGCCCGAGAATATAGCCGTCTTCGAGTCATCCCAGCCTCTTCGGGACGCGTTGCCGATTCATGATGTGCGAAATCCCAGATCGAGGGGCCCGTTATGTGTATGCGACATGTGCGCGGCGCGTCGACGTCTGATGAGGAGCTTATAGGAAAAGGTCGTGGTGGAGGAAGGAACGACGGGAAGACGTGACGAGACATTTTCGCAGGGTCCATGACGTCGGCGACGCGCCGGGCGAGAAGGTAAGCGTCCCCCTGACACATCTTGCGCAGCCAACACAACACGACCGCATCATCGATATGTCCAACGCTATGCAAAAGATGGTATGAGGAGAGCCAGATTATTAATTAAGCTACAGCATTCTAGGTGCTCAGTGGAACTCGTTCTTGTCCGCGTACACGTCGTTCTCGAGAAAGACCTCCACCTTGTCCGTCATCTTCGGTGTCAAATCCTCGCAATAGAAGATGCAGAGCAATCCTACGATACCAAAACTCAGACTACTGAGTGCCACGATCTTTAGCGCGTGCGCATAGCTCCATTGGAACGCCAAAGAAGCCGCGCCTAGTGCCTCTGGACTTGTACCTGGCACTTCGGCGATGGCGGCTGCGCCTAGGGGCAAAGCGGCAAGTAAAGCTTGCGCGTTCTCCAACGACATACCCGCCTTCACAGCAGCAGCGGGAACCGTCGCAGCAGCACGAGTGGTCTGGGTGTTGGTGAGGATAGTGGTATAGATAGCTTGAGCCAGCGACCCTCCTGCGTAACGAGCCATACCCGCCAAACCACCCGAGAAACCGAGATCTTGTTGTGGCACGCCAAGTTGCGTGAACGCGATGGACTCGTACTGTGCCCATCCGAAGAAAGAGGCGTTGATGCAGCAAAACGCGATCATCAAGTTCTGGTTGAACGGGGTGACAAGGCCCATCAAAGCACCGAAAAGTACCATGCCAGTCCAGGTACCGATCAATGTCCATTTCCAGTGTCCAATCACGTTGCCGAAAGCCATGAGGCATAGTGATCCGAAAACAAGGCCTACGTTCGGCGGCAGTGTGAGCAGCAGTTCGGTACTCCGCGAGACGTTCGGGCCCAGGTAGAAGACATTAACCATTGTCGGCCAGATGATGTTGACTGAGTAGTAGAACATGGTGACGATGAACGCTACGATGAACGGCGCTGTGAATTCTCTTCCTTTGTGGCTCCGGAATAGGTGTGGCGGGCAGAGTTTGAAGCGGGTGTTCGAGAGCGTCTCCCAGACTCCGAATGCAGCGATTAGGACGAACCCGACTACTATCGGTGCAATGACGGTCACGTCTGAGCTTGGCTTGTATGTGGTGTTGATGATACCAACAAGCGCAAGGCAGATGCCTGGCACAATGAGTGCAGTGCCCACATAGTCGAGGCCGCGGACTGCCTCGGACCATGGGACGCCCTTGGGGTGCTTCGGTGGCTTGTAGAGCAAGAAAAGAGATATGAAGGATATGGATTGAGCAATCAGACCAGCCCAGTATACCCACTGCCACGCATTGACGTCGATGGCGTACTGTGAACGAATGTCAGCTAGTTCGCTCAGCAGGTCGAAGCACTGCACTCACTCTTCCAACAATAGGACCAACTATGACAATAAGGAAGACGAAACCATCCGAAAGACAGATACCAATGTGCCGGAACTTGTTCGGTAGAAGTTCTGTAACAGTCAGACCCACTGGCATGTCAAACACGACGCAGCTCACTCACCAGGAATGCTGCACATGGCCATCTGCGCGAATCCGGCTCCAAATCCGGTTATAGCCAGTCCAGCTGTGAAGTGGTCTGCTCCTTTCGCTGTCGCGGTCACGATGAAACCGACGCAACAACACGCATTACCAAACAACAAGAACCACCTCCTTCCAAAGAGATCGGAGTTTGCGCCCGCAAGAAGGAAGCCAATCGCGTTGGCTGTTGTGTAAGCGGGTATGAACCACGCGCTCGCTGTCGGAGCACCAAATTGAGTGGCAAGCCGAGCCATCATCGCTGAGGTGGTAGGTACAGGCCAAAAAGAAAGACCGAAAGTCGAAGACAGGATGAAGATGACGAGCCATGTCTTTGGTGTTATAGTGGTTGTATCTGGGGTGACGAATGTCTGTGGTGGTGTCGCTGCAACGGTTTCGATTTGCTCAATGTCTCTCTTCTCGTCCGATGGCCGGCGCAGGCCGCTCTCGTGGATGGCTGTTACTGCCATGATGGTTTGGTGAAAGAAGCCGCCTGATGCAGGTGCGACTTTGTGTAACTGGGGTGAGAGATCGTCGCAGAGAGCCCACTCATGGCTTGCATATATCCTTCGCCGGGTCTTGTAGACATGCACAGGTCACATCCCATCAAGCCACTGGTCCGACACCTGGACTTTCCTCCAGCCCCGCATCTCGGATACACAGAAGCACAGCTAATTATGCCACTGGGTTGTTCTATTGGCTAGATTTCGCCATCATTTTCAGCACTTTTTCGCACGTTCTGAAAATCCGGGGTAGTGGATGTGGATGTGGGTATCCGAGACTGACTGCGGAGAAGTATTGCGCCACATCATGGCGCTTGACTGGAAGTGGTAGTGGGCGATCAAGGGGTGAGGATCGTCTTCACCAGGAACAACGTTTCCGTCGTTACTGAGCTGTGCGCGAAAGCTTATTTCCGACATCCGTGCGTTCACCTCGAGATCGCAGCCATGAACATCGTTGCACGTGAGAAATACAGGGTTTACTGAGGACTTTGAGCTAGACGAGACCGATATGTGACACCACAATGCTGAAGTCCCGGAATTGGCCAAGGGTCGGGCTGGTTTGGTTGTGTTGGATAGTTTACCGGTCTGCAAACCGTACATCTGCACCGAGGCATGGAAGAGGCATGGAGGACTAATTCACGATATTCAGTCGCAGAGATACCATGTGTAAATAGAAGACTTGGTAATCCTTCGCTCGAATTCACTACAACGCCTAGTACCTTGCATCTCGGACTATGTCCAGATAGCGCCCAGACTACGCATCCACTCTACGCGTAATCCCATCCGTAGTATCGCAATCAGGAATCGCTTTTCCAAAGCAGATCATATCATGCCTAGACTCATTTCATCAGCAAGTCAGTCGACACCAATCACCACTCTCGCCGACATTACCCGCCAAAGAAACTGAAGAGAAAAAGACTCACCCAGCCATGACCTGGATGCCCTTCTCCAGATCCATGAACTCCTCCGCATCCGGCATGAGCGCAGCCCGGTACTCGTCGCTCCCGGCAAAAGCCTCCCAGTCTTCCCACTTCTTCACCCAGATTTGACTGCAAGCATCGTAGTCTAGTAGATCCATGCCCAAGCTCTGCAGTTTGCCTTTGATGCCTGGTGATTGGTAGTGCTGAACGTAGCGTTGTATCTTGACTGCGTGGAACTTCTTGCATGCGACAGTGAGATCGGAGTGGATGTGGTTGTAATGCTTTTTGAAGAACTCATCGGTAACATCGGGGCGCTTGCGAAAGAAGAAGGAGAGCTTTATACAGGCTAGAAGAGAGCTTCAGTACATGATATATTCCAGTGACGAGGATGGACAGACGCTGGTAGTTCTCTTGTTTGTCCCATTCAAACTCGGGGTTTGCGAAATCATGCTGCTGAAGTGTTAGTCATGCATGTAGAACAAAAAGGGCGGAGAGCATACATCGATAGTCTTGTAGGTCATCTTAGCATGTAGTTGGTGATCGTGTAAGAAAGTCGAAGGCTCTTGGGTTGTCGGCTCCTAGAACCTAAAGTACCTGTGTATTCCACAAGTACAGCCACTAACAGTGACCCTGCATAACCGACCGGGGAAAACGGAGCAAGCCAAGTTCAGCGTGCGGGGTCTAGTATATAGCGGTACCCCCAGTGGCACGATCGAAGCAGGCTGCCTAGTGTCATGTTGTACAATTGATCGCTGATCAGTGGTATGAGCGCCTCACAGTATGTAGGCATCGTGATGACGGTCCTCAGTTGATATCGTAGAATTAATGCTGGACTAGATAAATAACGTGTCTAGAATACAACAACCTGTCTCTTCTCCGCTTTACCAGCCTCCATATCAGCGACCATCTGCGGCAAATCATCAATCTTGCGGAACTCGACTTCTGGTTGTATGCTGCGGAAGGTCAGAAACTGTTTTCACATGTCAAAAGAAGTAACATACCTGTGCTTGCCAGTGAAATCCACAGCCTTCTTCATTCGCTGCGGAATACCCGTGCTGTCGGCCTTGATGCGGTACCGTCCTGTTGTTAAGTCGAAGGTGTTGATGAAGTCCAGTCCTTTCGGTGCGATTCCAATGACCATGAGTAGTCCGCCTGTTCTCAAGACATCTGGAGCGCCGGCGTATGCTGCATTCGATGCGCTATAAACCGCCGCTGCGTGACATCCTTTGCCTCCTGTGAGCTTCTTGATCTCTTCGAGATAGTCCTTGTTCTTCATGGAGTTGAAGACAGCTTCCGCGCCAACCTTTTTCGCAACATCCAATTGGTTGTCGTTGATATCGAGACCGATGGTCTTAATACCCATCTGTCTACTGTCAGTCGCCATGCGTAGCGCAGCTTTCTGCCCAAACTTACGGCTTTTGCATATTGTATCGCATACTGTCCAAGACCGCCGCACCCGATAACCGCCAGCCAATCGCCCGCCTTCAACTCACAGCTGTCCACCGAATGAAATGCTGTGATACCTGCACAGAACAGCGGTGCAGTCTTACTCATATCGAGGTTTTCGGGTAGCTTGACTGCATTCTGCCAATCAACGACCGCGTACTCGGCGAAGTACCCATCCGACACAAAACCTTGTAGTTTCTGGTTACCCGTCTCGCATCGCATGTTGTGGATCATGCACCCTTCGCATTCGAAACATGCGCCGATGAAATAGTTAAACCCGATAGCATCACCAACTTTGAAGCCTTTGTCGCTAGCTTCTGCGCCGATAGACTCAATGTAGCCGACTCCTTCGTGTCCTAAGGTGACATTGTAGTCGGGTCTCATGGCCATGAGCAAGTCTGAATGACATAATGATGCTGACTGTATCTTGACTAGGAACTGATTTGGTGCTTCGGTGGGCTTCGGTACATCATTGACGACGACCTTTTGCTGCTTGCTGGATGTCTCATCAGTCTCATACTCAGTGAGGACTCCCCAGATACCATATACTTACGGATCCCACTGGCCAGCTTTCATGATTAGGACTGTACTGATGTTTCTTGTGTGGCTTTTGGTATAGCTTGAGGACTGTGTTGGATCCAAAGAAGAGTATAAGTACCTGCTCTGCGCTTCGCATTCACTCTACCTATGTATGCAACGGGTTGTGAGGCGCGACAGAACAGGAAAGACTGCAGGGATTGTGCTGCGAGTCATCCCGACACCATGAGGGCACCGTTGCTGACTTGGCCTAGCAAAGCCGTTCATACGGAAAAAGGTGGCCGACATGGCGCGCGGGCTGAGAACGTTTGGCTAGAGGTGAAGCTTGGAGGATGCTGGGTGCGTGGCGCGCGGGGAAGGAAGAAGCGGGGTCCAGACGTCTAGCTCGACTAACTTCGCGCGACTTCGTCTTGCATTCCACGCCGTACGTCCAGGGCTAGTCACACTAGAGAGGCAAAAAAAAAGATGTCGCGCTACACGTACTGGTGGTGGTCGCAGCGCGGGATGGTGAGTGGCAAAAAGAAGGCATGGGCAAAAACATACAACAGCGGGGATTCCCCGGTGGTCACCCACCCGAGTACTAATCTGCCGGTACACTGCTTGTATATGGCTGAGCGGACGGGAAGCCTAATTCTCAGTGTCCTATGGTCGTATGTACCAGTTTTGACAATTTCACTTATTATGACGTCGAGTGCTGACCAAGAAAACCTGACACCTAGAGCTGTGGTCGAACATCACGCTTATACCTGCACTAACATCGAGCACAGTGTTGTGACTAATGGTACTGAGTGTCAATGGAGTTGTGAGATGTTGCACGAGCTTCAAGCACGTTGGAGGCCATGTACATTCACGGATAGATTTGAACGATGACATGTCCATTCGCTACTGCTAATTACAAGCCACTAGGTCTGCATCCGTAATGATACCGATGGAAGCTGTCCCGCAGAATGGAAGCTATCTAACTGCCACTGACCGAGGTCACGGTAGGGTCCCAGGTCGTGTACGTGACTTCATGAGTCGTCCAAGTCTGATACACATCCAATCCATAGCTATCAGGCTTCGTGTGGAACGTGTAGTCGTAGGTCGAGTTCGTGTTGATGGTCAACTGGTAAGTTGCTCCGATGGTGTTCTTGAGCTTGTACCAGGTGATGCCTTTTCGCAAGTGTCAGTTACATGAACTAGCTCACGCGTATCATGCAGCACTGCTGCTATACATACCTGTCTTGTTGGCGAAGTCGGTGGTTGTCATACCCTCGGTGTCTGCCTTCCAGTAGCATGGCTCATTGTCGAAGGGAGGGCCGTGAGAGTCAACGTCGTGGTCAGGCCCGTCTGCTGGCTTCTCGGTTGTGTTGCCCTTTTCATCGACGTCTCTGGTGAAGAACGTTTTCCCGCTCTTGGAAGTCTTCTCGGTCCATTCCTGGAAGTCACCTTCGGGGGCTTTGAGGGTTTGCTCCTTTTGTTCGGACATGGCGAGAGATCAGAAACTCTGGTAAAGCTGGTTGTGGATGATGGTGTCTTGAGGAAACTACGGCTGGATGCTGTGTCAGAGAAGGAACAGCGGAGGGCGGAGAGCCTTTTATGTCAAATATCATATTCTTACTTCGCCATCCGATGATGTTGAGTACGATACAGGAGCATTCTGCATTCCCGGTAGCTGCAGCAACTACAGCACCGACACGGCTAGCCATGGAGCAGGAAATCCATAGCAAGGACAAGAGATCGAGAACTCACAGCTGAGCTTCAGCTGCGCCACCATGTCCATGGCGCAAAGTTCATGGTAGTTCCAGCTGTGGCCCTGCTGCGTGGTCTGCTCGGCCTCAGCTACATCAGGGCTGTTTGGCTTGAACTTGCTGCTATCTGGAACCTTCTCATTGGCGCAAGTTACGCGTGACGTTCTAGGCGTGGTAGCCCTTGCGTGCCTAGGTAATGCCACAACTCTTTTGGGATTGCCGAGCTTAATATGGTTTCTGATTTTAGCTGCTATGAGTGTTCCAGGGATGGCGCACCTTCCAGCGTCAGAAATATGGCTCCCACCGTTGGTGCGCATGTTATTTGTGCGGGGGCGGGCGCGGCCGGAGCGGCGCCCAGGTGGAGAACGGGCATCCCGAGGTCGCTACCAAACCTTGGTCAGCGCCTTCACGATGCAATGTCCCGCTTGCGACACTGTGACCAGGTCCGAGTCTGCGTCAAAGGCGCACTCTATTGATGTTGCGACAAGTTGATCAATAACAAAGCACTGGAGATTGCGAGTCTGCATAGGTACAATCCTGCCCTAGTCGGGTGCTGATCGAGACCGACAAACACGCAGCGGCTTTGCATTGCGCCCACTCGGCGTGACATTCGGAAAGCCACAACTACTGCACACCACAGGCCCTGATGCTATCTACATCAATCCATAGCGAACTTGCGGAAGTTTCGCCTATTTTCAGTTCATATCACCCACCTGCATACCCTTCATGCGCACTTGGTCACACGGAATCGGTCCGCCTCAGTGCATACCTCATGAGGTCAAGCGACCGCCAGCCGTACTCCACCTATCCTACGTTTTCGTCCATGGATACGTTAGCTTCGTCTCCGAAGGCCTAAACGAGGCTCGATCTGTCGCTCATTAGACGCATTCGACTAGAAGTATGTTAGTTCGTCGCCTGAACTGCGTTGACACTTTACCTAGGCAATGATGCGGCGTGAAAATGCGGCTGGTCTCAGCTTTCCACCGCGCGCCACAAATGTCGGACGTATGCAGTGAGAATTCATTGTGAAGCTAGAAGCTACTGAAAAAGAGGTTGTGGCGGTCGTAGAGGTGTACATCTAGCATCTAGACACAACACCGGGGAGCTGACCGTTGTGTCTAGCAAGGTCAGGCGACACTTCTACTCATACAGCTTCTCCTAGATGCAGTTTGCATCCTTCAGCTTCGAGATGATACGGGGCTCGTGTATGGCTAAGCTGAGATCGTTCGCGTACGATACAGATCGCTGGTCTAGATCAATCTTGGGTTTGGAAGTCTCATCAGGTAAAACAAGGGGAGACTGCGGTCCCCCGGTCAGTATCAAGATTTTTCAACGCTGTCGTGAGCTACACTCGCAATCATCATTACAATGGCTTCCGAGTCCCATACCGAGGACGCACAACATTTGGCGGCGAGCAAAGAATATGGACTAAACTTCGCGGTCGCGGGTGGGCTGGGAGGTAGCTTACATTCTCCTCTTCACGAGTCTATCACTCTGGCTGCCCTGGTCAGTACAGGATTCAACGTCGCTCCAGGGACTACATTAGAAAGTGCCAGTAACGCCGACTGGGAGTACATTCGGGGAGTGGTGTGGAACGATGATCCCGCTTGTCTACTCTTTGACGACTACGCCGACGCAAACCACACCTACTCGACAGGAATGATGTGGGGCTACTATTTCAAGACAGGGGAATACGAATGGGAACAAGAAAAATCAGACAAGATGCAAAACCCGACCGGGCGCTCCCACTACGGCGATCTCCAGTTCCTACACTGTATGGCTTCCAAGCTTGGAGAGAACCCAGAGGAGACCAAAGGAAAATTGATGAAATGGCTCGGCGTCCTTTGGAAACTCGCCAATGGAGAGGAAGGGATTACCCCAGATACAGTCATCAGCAAGACCGATATGGCCGAGTTCTGTCCTAACTTCTCGCTGCCCGCCAACTGGGGGACGCTGCGCTATCTGCTATCTGGCGAGTCGGCATTCGAAGCCTTGGACATACCACGTCGAGCCTTAGGCAGTATGTTCCATATCATACAAGATTCCTACGCTCTGGGACACACGAGACGCACGTTGCTGAACCATGAAGCGAAGATCTCCGACGGTAAGTTGCAACGCAGGCTCTCTTTCTTCCATCACATGGTGACATAGTTGATCGAAACCATCTGACGATACCACCGTGGCAGATCCCCTCCAATTTCAACCCGGCGTCGTCGACAAATGGGGCCCAATCGAGAACTTCCACGTCTACAGTGGACAAGACGACGACCATCACGGGCTGTACGATCACGCCAACACCCCAATCCCCGATCCCACAAATCTGGCCAACTTGGACCAGTTCAACAGCATGATTGGCTGTCGCGATGCCGTCGAGAAGTGTCGAGGACTGATCGAGCTAAAAAAGTCGGGCAAGACGTGGGAAACAGGGGTGAGAACGTACTTGGATGAGGTTGTGTTCTCCCTCTCACAAGAAGTCACGGATGCAGATACGCGAGTGTGGCCTTAGACGCAATGTGGCAACGCATGCCAAGTTGAGATTGCACTAAGCTTGTATGTTTCTCCTAGCGTGCGTTACTATACAGTAGGAGAAGTAGGATAGATCGGTATAAAGTTGAAACTTAAACATCCTGATCGTGAATTTCTGCCTGCGTATATTCTGCGTCATCTGCGGCATAGATGTATTGTTGAGCCCTCTGCAACAAAGAGAGATAGGCCTACATGTCTTCTGATGAGTAGGCTCTGCCATGGCTTGCTACCAGAGGTTTGTATGAACAATCCATGGTCGGCTACATTTGGCTCAGTTTCGTGTGCGCGTATGACCGCGAGCTACCCATAATCCAATTGATCATGCAGGAATTCGAGCAAAAGAGCTGGCCTAGTCTGATGACCGTACTTCGGCCGTCGAATAGAACACGCAAGATGCCCGTATTCAGCACATCTGTACGCGTCCATCAGCGCTGGAATACGAAAACCTTACATGGTCGTACTTCGGGCGCTGACCTGGCCAACTTTCTTGCTCGAATTCCTACGGTCCTCTCACCCTGCGTCTTCTGCAGGGTCGCTTAACTGCGTCCTAGCTCCACATGTAGCCTTCGCTAGCTTGTGGCGTCGTGCTTGGCTGGCTGAGCGGCCGGGGAGGTCCGCTGCCTCGCTCTCACTTACGGTCTAGAGCATCAATAGCTTCGCGGCTCCAGCTCTTCCTAGGCCACCGCGTCGCTTGTGGCTGGCTGTGTAGAGCTCTGGGCGGAAGATCACGAAGTGTGGGCTTCCTATGTGCTCAATGGCTGGAAAAGGTGCAGACCACAACGTACAGGGTCTATAGAATGTTCGGCATACTCATACCGGTGCTGTGCTCTTGACCCTCATATCAGACTACCTTTGAAAATTGTGAACGTACTATCCCCAAGACTTTTCTCAACCTAGAGCGGCATTATGGCGTCCATCACCGTCAATGGCAACACAATCGTACCGATCGGATCAACAGGCGAGAGGTGGACGATTAATGCAAACGATCAGGGAGAAGTGAGATCTGCACCCGATGCAAAGGATTCGAATTTTATACTTGTGCAAGTTGATCGTGTCCTCTCTGTTGATGAGAAGGCGGTTTTGGCAGACCATCATGTTGAGATCCAAGAATATGTCGCCGAGAAGACATTTCTTTGTCGATATGAGCCGGACAATTTGCAGGCCCTACGGCTATTGCCGTTCGTCGTGACAGCGGACATGTAAGAACCACGTCCTGTGGAGCATATATTGGTAGTGACGAAGCTAATGGTTACAATCTCAGTTATCATCCAGAACTCAAAACAACCATCTCATTGAAGGAAATGGTCGAGGGCGAACACGACCAACAGGACTATGAGGTCGATCTAATTCTTCATGAGAATCCCAACGTGACGTCGGAGCAATTGGCTCCGTATGTTGCGCGAGCGGCTGAAGTGCCCGTTGGAGACCTCGAGATCCTGGAGCGCAAGATCAGAGTCACTGTTCACCAGGACAAACTCGCGGCACTCGCCGCTTTGGACAGCGTCAACAGGATCGAGGAGGTCCGGCAGTATGGCATGTTCAATGACCAGGCGCGCGCCGTTCTATTTGATGCGCTCGCTATTCAGAGTGCTTCGATCGCATACCAAGGTACCGGGCAAATTGTCTGCGTGGCCGACTCAGGATTTGACCAGGGCATGGCGGCGGACACAGAAGACATCAAGGTTCATCCTGCCTTTTCGGATCGTGTCGTGCAAGTCATCGGTATGGTTCCAGGTACTGCTACTCCCAATGACCCCGTGGGTCACGGTACACATGTCTGCGCTTCGATCTGCGGTAATGGGGTCTACAGGAACGCCGAAAAGGTTGAAGTACCGATGAAAGGCACTGCGCCGAACGCGAGGATAGTTGTACAGGCCATGTCTCAATGGCACACCAGCTTACGCAAGTGGAGTCTCAAGGTACCAGCCGAAACGTCCGTTCTTTACTCAGAAGCGTATAAACTCGGGGCTCGGATCCATAACAATTCTTGGGGCCCTATATGGAGCCCGACGACAGGACAGTTTGGATACACAGCCGACGCGACCGACATCGACCGGTTCATGCGCGACAACCTGGATTTCTGTATTCTCGTGGCAGCCGGAAATGACGCCGCAGTCAAGAACGCGGGCGCGAGCCAGATAGGGGGCAATGGAGCTGCAAAGAATTGCATCACCGTCGGTGCTACAGGAACAACGCGAGACAACGACGGCCA